CTCAGCAATGTAATTAGGATCTTATTATCGGGCCAGTGTTTTTTCTTGGATATTTTTATATCATTTTGAAGCTCTTCAAAAGTTCTATCAACTAAATAAAAACTGGCGTGGCGGACAATACCACTGATCCACAATGACGGAGGCTTTCGTTAATTATCATTGGTTTTTCAGATATTTTATGAGCATGTGGCCCAATGTTGTCCGTATCAAATGCTGCTGCTCAGTTTTTATTCCCAGACATTTTTATACCATTTTGAAGCCCTCAGGAAATGCTATCCAACCATATGAAAAGAAGGCTGCTCGATCATGTATTGAGTGGATAAAGCAAGACAATTATCATGAGAAGCCAGGCCCATCCTTAATGCAATGTTCACTGAGTAAGTTACTGCACTCGTTCATAGTAAAAACAAGCTGTATTTCATTAATTCTGTAATAGAACGCTTTCAGGCACCTAATACAACGATATCGCTAAGACAAAGTCGAATTTCTGATGGGGGCCGATTTCATTGAAAATCGACCCTCCTCCTTTTACAACGAACGAAATCCGAAATGATGATGATTTATATTACATCAGCCGAAGCAAAAATGAATGAATATGAAAACAAATTCGATACAGACTTGGCTAAAATGAAAGAAAATCAATCTTCTGACTCATCACATAAAAAATGAACTCAAACAATGTTAAATATAATGGAACGACGTTTTCAGAATATAAATGAACGTCTTACATGTCTTTACAAATTAAAACTACGTTTTTTCGTCAAAGCTCCGACGGTCAAGAATTAGATTGGATCGATCGTCGGAGAATTCCTATCCAAAAATCAAATATCACTTGCTCACCAACAATAGTTCAAGACACACCACATCATCTATCACAGGAACAAGTTACATTTCTTAATCGTGGACCAACCTATGTTCCATCATGTCAAATACATATTTTATCAAAATCTTCTTTAGTACTGGCTCAAATCGTTACGAAACAAATGGCACCACTTCAACGAGAACTTTCAAAACTTTTCATCAAATATCCAATCGATCTCTCTCGTCAAATGCATTTTGAAAACGGGATTGAACAATTATTCAATAAATCATTTCTTCAACCTATACCTTCTGTACTTGAAGAGCGTGCACTCTATGAAAAACAGCTCATTCTATCAATTAGATATCAATTAAATAAAGATCAATTGATTCTACGGCGAACCGCTGATGAGATGAATACATATTATCTTGGTCGATTGAATGAATTTAATCAAAAATCGAATGAATATATTCAGAATTCAACTTGTTACGAACTGATTGAAACAATTAATGAAATTAATACAGAACAACAACAATTAGAAGGAATTATTCAATCTATTGATTTACAACTGGAAATATTATATCAAAGAAAATTGATTAAAGAAGATCATTTAATCAGATTAAGTATTGGCAAAAAAACAAATATCAATCTTCCATATCTTTATTTCTTACCAGAAACGAATGAAAATATTCATATGTCAGTACAACCACGACTATCATCATGTCAGCATTGTCCAATATATACTCTAGCTACTTATCTTAATCAATTTCTTCGACCATTATTTGATAATTTTTCACGATCAACAACATTTCTTAATGGTGGTGATTTTATACAAAAACTACAATATTATTGTCTACAACTAGATCTTCTTCTACCGAAAACATATTTTGCAACATTTAAAATTCATGATTTATATACGAAGATATCACATTCGGCTCTTCTTGAAGCATTAAATATATTTCTAATGAATCCACTTGTCAATGGTCAACATAAAAAATTATCAAGTGATGCTATTCAAGAATTAACTGCAATAGTCTTACAAAATAATGTTTTCTCTTACAATGGAAAAATCTATCGATTTATTTAAGGAGGTTCATTAAATTTACCATTAATAGAATTATTATGTCATATTTATATGCATCATTGGCAATATTCATTAGTTACACATATTTGTTTGAAAGATGCATTCTATGGTCGATATAAAGATACAGGTTTTTTAACATGGAATAGTCCGATTGATCAATTGCAAACATTATTCAATAAACTTGAACAAGAACTAGATTCGAATCTTCAA